CTCAGCGTCATGCAGCGCATCGGCACAGACGCCATCCGGCGTGCCGGGCTGGCTGTGCTCGCCGGGGAGGAACAGGGTTCCCGTCCAGAGCAGATCTCCGGACGACGGTGCACCTTGCCCCACGGTGGGCGCCAAATGTCGGGGGTTGGATACGACATATGCCAAAGGATGGCTTATCATGGTGGGAGCGAGTAGAACGTCGCCGGTGCCTGGAAGCGGGATGAGGCGAAGACATGCACGCCGGCGGAACTTACCCAGCTTCAGGGCTCTCCTAGGAGATAATACCCCTACTGCTGCTCTGCGGGGTCTCCGCATGATCACCAAGGTAAAGTGACTACAATGGTGCTCCTGGAGCTGTTTCGGGAGGCAGGAGAGGGCAAGGCTAGCTCTCTCCTCCCTGTGCTATCTGGTCTATCTCTTTCTAGGTCTGAACCCTTTGCATGGGTGCCCCGGGGGGTTTATATAGGCCTACCCCCTGGGGTACAATAGTAATCCGGCTGGGCGCGGGTCCCAGCCGTCTGTCTCTCAGGCCGCCGCCCTTCCCGCCGGCTTCTAGGGCCCGCCGACTAGCGGGTCCCGCAGACAGGCTTGATACTGTAGCGGCACTCCTGATGACGCAGGCTCGGTCATTGGGTCGTGGCAACAGTGCTGCCGTCTATCGGGCGATCACTGTCGCCATTCCCCATCCTATCTGGTTAATGGCTCGTGGGGCCCTGGGGAGGAGTCGGCCGACTCCAGGGAGGCCGACTCCCACAGGTCCGTCTTCGGGTCGCTCAGGCCGCCTTCGGCCCACCCACTGACAGGCGGCCCCGACGCCTTCGGGTCGTACAGGCCCGCGTCGTGGGCACAGTGTACTGCGCACTGTGGCTGAGGTCAGGGCAGGCATGGCAACAGTGTCGCGCCTCGCCGGAGATCTTCCAGCGATACGGCTCACTGTAGCCATGCCGACCCTTCATAAGCAGGGGGGACGGCCATGCCGTGACCGTACCCCGCATCGTACTTCGAGATGAGGGAGGAGTCATGGGCCGACTCTCCATAGTCGGCCTCTCTGGAGGTCACCAGCTTGGAGTCGGCTTATCTGGGAGTCGCCGTCTGGGACTCGGCTTGTCTTGGAGTCGCCGTCTGGGACTCGGCATATTTTGGAGTTGCTCCTGGGACTCGGCCTGAGGGGCGCGGCCTACCCCGATGTCTTGAAAGGTCCTGGGCCTCGGGTTAGCCTACCCGTGGCCCATAACTCCGACAGGGGCCATGGTTAGCAAGAACCAGAATGCCGACTGGTTCAAAGGCACCTTCATCGAGATGGTCAAGGAATGGCAGCGCAAGTTGTTCTACATCACCGAGTCGCTTGCCGTCGGCCAGGCCAAAGTCCCAGCCTTCTCTGCAGGGCCTCTAAGGAAGCTCAAGTCCTGGAAGAAGAAAGGCATCGCCTGGGGGAACCCAGAGGAGGTGGAGACACTGATCAAGAGGATCAAGTGGTGGTCTACCAAGAAGGACCTCCAGCTCGCCTAAAGAACAGTATGTTCATCATGATCTATCCATGTCTCTATTTGTAGTTGTTGTTTCATGTGCGATGCCGCTGTACATGTCTTTCTGTTCACCTAGTACGCTAGGCTGTTGCATGCTATTCTCTGTTGTAGTCATGAATTATATTTACTAAAATTGATCATGAATTTGCCTAATATTCCAACACGAAGGGCCGCCACCTCCACGACCGGAACGGGGATCCGCCAGACCAGTCGCGTGAGGCAGCCCGCCACCCAGCGCAAGCCACCGCGCCGAACACGGGAGTGGAGTGGAGTGGAGTGCACTTTCCCGGGCCACCCGGACACCCGGGCACCCGGGGCACTTGCCCGGGCTCCCTGGGCAGGGGACTGCGTGCGAAGGTGATAAACAACGGGGCAAATCCCACTATGCATCGTGGTTCACCCGGGCAGCAGTGTACGTGAGCTCCTACCAAGTGTTCAACTAATATTTAAATAGGAGTAATGTGCTAATTAATTAGTCCTCTCCCTGACCAAGCGTAATGTTCAGTAGTGTTTGGGCTGGTATTCCCTTCTTCCAAAACAATTAGTACTTGAGAGGAAACAACCACTCACAGCCCTGTTCGGCACGACTTACATCCTCGACTACTCCTCGTCTCGTGCCCTTTCTCCTGAACATGTAAGGTTTTGCTAACTAATTTGAAGATTGATATATTTAGGACTTCAATTAATTTATGAGGTCAGGCGGTGGGGGATATTTTACATGTCTTCCTCTTTTCTTGCAAGCTCTCTATTTTGAGTATATTCACAAAATCACAAATCACACACTTAATTTATGTGAATTAGAAAATCATTATTTTATCTTCTACTCCCTCTGTAAAGAAATATAACAGCGCTTAGATCACTAGAGGGAGTAGTATCTTCTAGGATGTTTGGATGCTAATTAATATAGCTATACTTTTACTAGTAACATGGCAAATTTAGTTCTATTTATGGCCTTGTTTCTTTTTGTGAGGGTAATAAAGTCTTACTCTTGCGTGAGCTCATCGCACCAGTGTCGCTTTCCATGCACGCGGACACCGTGACATGGTCTCTCACCCCTTCCGACAAATTCTCGGTCAAATCTTTGTACCGAAAGATGTGCCAGAGCCAGGCCTGCCTAGTGCATCTCCCGCTCAAGATTAAGGTGTTCTTTTGGTAGCTGTTTCGCAATAGACTGCCCACCTCGGCTAACGTGGCCAAACGGAACGGCCCGTCGACGGGCACTTGCGCGGTCTGTCACGTCGCGGAAGATGTGAATCATGTTTTCTTCCGCTGCCCGTTAGCTCGTTTTTCTTGGAGAGTGCGGTCCGAGCAGCCGCTAACACCTCTTGGAACCCGCGATCGACCTCCGATCTTGCGGGCTTATTTTCCTCTGCTTCTGGAGGCAACAATCGCGTGCTGTGGAGCTGTATCGGAGCCCTAGCTTGGTCTCTGTGGCTAACTAGGAATAAACTTGCGATCGAAGGTATATTCCCAACGCACCCTGCTAACATCATCTATAAATGCAACCTCTTCTTGCAGCAGTGGAGTCCGTTGTTGAGGCGCAAGGATACTGGCAAGATGAAGCATGCCCAAGATCGTCTGCGTGCCGTCTACATTTTGGCTAGGGAGCCTCCCGCCACGTCTCCATCGTGATTGTGGCCCTTTTGCTTCGTGATTGAGCGAGCCTGCGTGCTCTAAGCTCTGGCTATGAGCCATGTACTCGTTTCGCACTTAATCTGGTCAGGTCTTTCGTGTGTAAACCTTAAGTTAACGCTGGCCGGGAGCCTTCGTGCTCGTGTCGTCTGTTTTTCGGGTTTAGGTCCGATACGCTGCCTGTTGTGGGCTTTATTAATTTAAAGCCGGACGCGTCTAAGCGTCTTCGTTCTAAAAAAAATAAAGTCTTACTCCATCAATATAGGGTTACCGTCCCGAGCCAAAAGTTTCTCGATACTTGGTGGACCTTGGTGGAGCCATAATGCAATGGTACGCTCTAGATGACAATACATAGCCAATTGATCTGCTACCATATTTTGTTCATGTCTAATTTTCGTTGGAATAAACTCTCTATTTTGTTCTATGCATGGCCTTGTGTTTATGACTTATGTTGTCACGCGACATTATCTATTAGCTTCTAGGATGGTTTGGAGAGAGCCTTCTCGAGAACGGTCAACAAAGGGTGATACATGGCATGACCTGGGCAGCCCTGCCAAAAGCTGTTTCCCGAGTGTCATCGAGAGGGGACTCAAGAAATGCTCGAACGTTTGCCAAAGGTAACACTCGGCAAACGTCAAAGGCACGTTGTACCCTCCAATGGAGCCATCTTTGCCGAGTATTGTGCGGCAGGTACTCGGCAAACCCACAAATGCTTAGCCGAAGACGTCACTCGTAAAACGTCCAAGACACGTGCCGCCCTTCGGTGCACCCGTCTTCGCTGAGTATGAAAGGGAAGGTACTCGACAAACGCAACATTCCATGTGATAGGAGTCGTTTACGTCGACTGGTTGCCGTTTTAGTTTGTTGAGTACCTCAGCACTCGGTAAAGACATTGTCAAGTACCCGAGGAAAGGTACTCGGCAAAGCTCTCTATCAAAATGGGGTAGCCGACTGTCACACTCGGCGAACGGTTATAAATTGAATGTTGATATATCATATAGTAGTTCACTTTAAAATTACATTTACATGACTATCATGTTTATATTGTTACTTCATTATTATTGTGCATTTGTGGTTCCGAAGTTTGGGGCTATTTTATTTATATATCATGTATCAAAATACTTGATTTTAATTTCCAAATCACACTTAGACTCAAGCTTGCCCAGGCTTCACAAAAGTTCTGGCTCCGCCCATAGGAGTGCAGGAGTGTGCGGCCACGGCTCGGCGCTGTACCTGATTGATAGTGGCAACACTGATTCGGCCGCGGCATGTCATGTGCCACGGGGCCCCCTACACGCGGCGTCTTGCCACGCACTCGACATGGACGATGACAGCACTGCTCCTCCTCTCTGGCCCGTACTCCGCGGCGGTTGGAGGCGTCTCCACCAAAAAATCACAGTGCCATTCAGATCTCAGAAGGGACCACCGGGCTCGCCTCGTGCACTGCACGGAAGCAGGGGAGCGTGAGCGTGTGCACGCCCTCCCGTCGCCGGCGACTTGGGGTGTTTTGGCACAGACGCCGCCGGTTATTTTGGTGCGGAAAGTGACACGCCGATGAATCCATGAAGGTGGTGAAAAGAACGCATCCAGATCGATTATTTATTTCGATGACGATACAAGCAAATCTGTAAACTTAGATGGAAAAGATAATTCACCTGTTTATTCCCTTCTGAATGATCACTGACACAACACTGAAGAACGTCGTACTACTGCTACCACTAAGTGCACTATCAACGACCGATATCACAAACACAAGCGTACATGAATGACATCACGGTCGAGCAACCAACAATGCAGAACATGACCCATTTCTCTCGACGGGCAAACAATGCGGTGCAGACATCACTTGATGAGGTTGGTAACGGCGGTGCAGACGATGGCCATCTGCGCCGAGTCGGCGCTCTGCTTCGCCAGCCGCGACGGGATAGCGACGCCGGCCCGGGCGAAGGCGGCGGCGCACCGGCGCGCGAGGGACGCAGCCTCGCCCGCCTTCTCCTTGCCCGTCGCGTAGTCGCGCCTGTCAATCCCGTCGTACGCCTCGGCGAACGCGGAGCCCATCCTGTCGTACAGCGCCTCGCACTGCTCCAGCGGCCCGCGTGCCGCCGCTGGCTGCTCCTTTTTTCCGGCGAGCATGGCCTTGATGTCGTAGGCGCCGTTGCCGGCCATGAGGACGCCGACGTCGGCGGCCACCTTGGCCAGCCCCCACGTATCGGCGTCGGGGCTGTCGTGGTGCTGGCTCAGCCTGGACACGCAGAAGTGGTAGTCCACGCGCCTGTCGCTGCGCGCCGCCGCCCTGCACGTCGTCTCCGGGGTCGCGCCGCCGCAGACCACGGCGGCGAGGATGGCAGCCGCGGCCGCGAGGGCTCGAGCCATAGTAGATGGCCTCATCGCTCGCTGTTGCTGGTTAGCTTCGTCCGTTCCACAGAATCGGAGTGTGGAGTGAGTCTGGTAGAGCAGTTGCTTGGCCGACCGACTCGTCTGCCGGTTATAATGGCGGATGCTCTTGCACTGTAGCACGCTCACAGGTGGACGGTGCTCGTTCGCCGGGCGTTGAGACGGGACCGAGGTGGGGACTGCATGTCTCTGCATGACGCGTGTGCGCGCGTCGGCCAGGTGTAGCCTGCCCAGCCACAGATGAACGAGATATTTCTCAGGAGGCTCGTACTAACACCATCATTACATGCGTTACTAGCTCGATGGGCATGAGTGACCACCGTGCATTACAATGAGTGTTCCTCTATTAGAGCATGGTTAATAGTATAGCCAATTGTTGGTTATAAGCCATTGCCATGTCATCTATAGCTTACCTTATAGCCAATATGTACAATAGTTGATTAGAAGAGTGTATTACTTTTTTATTATATGGCCCACCTTTCACTCTCATAAAGTACCTAGGAGCACGTGTTAGAGCTGGCTCTTCACCAAGAGCCCGCTTATCTTCTCTCTCCTTTTCTCTTTCCTCCAACTAAGTAAAAATATACTAGTTTATTTCTTATAGCCGGCTGACTCAGCTTTATTGTACTTGCTCTTACAATTGTGCTGGTGGATGTTTGGAAGAAGATACACTCTCACTACTGTCACTAGGATAAATCTACCACGCTGCTGTATTGGCCAAAGAGGCAAAGATCAAGGAAACAAGCTTTGCACTTGTAAATCGAGAGCTTCACGAGAAACCTGGCTTTTAAAAGTACGGAGGCTTTTAAAAGTATGCAGGGTTGCTTGCAGATCACAGAAAAGGTTAGGGCATCTCCGCAAAGCGCACGCCGCATCCGTCTGTCGCAAATACGGATGCGAGAGTCGGCTATTTGGCATTATACGTTCATCGCATTTCTTCTAACCTTCTTGGACGGTTTATTTATTGGATCGGTTGGGTCATCGGTTTCTTTCTGGATGCCTTACGACGGTATTGGCAATGTATAAGTTTCACTTGGTCCATTTAACTTCAATCAACAATACATGATGATGAAGTTTTTCTTTTCCAACTCCTTGGAACACATTACACGCACGAGAATGCTATAGAATAAAATATTGTCAATGCTTATCCAGCTACAAAACTATGCATATCCGGCTACAAATGATCTACACAACAATGCATACATATCCCTCTACAAAACTATAAGTATCCGGCTACAAATGATCTACTTCGTACACAACAATGCATACATATCCGGCTACAAATGATCTACAAACTTTGCATATCCATCTACATATGATCTACACAACAATGCATACATATCCGGCTACAGATGATCTACGAAATTATGCATATCCGGCTACAAATGATCTACACAATATTGCATACATATCCAACTACAATACTATGCATATTCAGCTACAAATGATCTACAAAACTATGCATATCCAGCAAGTGATGTACACATATTAAGAACTTACTTACTCGGTGATTTGTGCACGACTAGGCCATCATACAATGAGTTGCCTCAAGTGGCCGCAATACTTAAACGTGTCCCCTTGGATGATATACCATCGATGGTTGAGGGATTTCGATTCACGGCTGCAGATGACCGCGTCAGAGTAGGGCGCGAAATACGGAACCAAGTATGAATGTTGGCCCAAAAGTTACTGCGTTCAATGGATCGAATCGAGGCTAGTAGCCAACCATGCATCGCACAACAGCTCTTCTTCCCGCATGTTGAAGCTTTCTCCTCTGCCCCTCTTCTTTGAATACTGAAATCATCTAGATCATTGCCATCGTCGTCCTCCTCTTCCTCCTGTTGTCCGGCAGCCCAATCCTGATGTTGTGTGTCTGCACCCAGCTGATTATAGTCCTGATGCGTGCTAGACTGGGTGTAGGTGCCCGGCTGGGTGTCCTGCTGCATGCCCGACTTGGTGTAGGTGTCGGGCTAGGTTGGCTCCGAATCATCCACCTGCCCGTCCTCATAGGAACCTCCTCCTCTGCCTCCCTCTTGGATCATCTCATACATCTCTATGTCCACGTCGTCGTATGCCGGCTCTGCCGCTTTAGGCATACCAGAGAACAGCGTGCTAGCACCCATTTGCTCCACGCCCATCGTTCGCGTCCAGACAAGCGGCGGCGATGAACACTCAGAGAAAAGCAGCGGCGCCACATTGACATAGACGATGAACGGCAATGGCGGGGGATGCCCGGGACTGCCTACCCAGCTGCTTGGTGGCGTAGAAGTACAGGGCCTTGTAATGTTTCGGCCATGGCGGCACCTGCATGGTCCGCGGGGCCCCGCGGCCTGGGCCGCCCTGACCTTCACCACGTACGCGACCTGCATGCCCACCGCCTCGCCTGCCACCATCACGCCCTCTGCTGGCCTTCTGCTTTCTGAGTTTTTCCTCTTTTGCGGCCTTCGCTTTGATGCTCGAATCCTCCACCACGTCCATCTTCGGCAGTGTCTCCTCCAGGTCCATGGGTCCACAGCGGGATGGAAGAAGAGAGTGAGAAAAGGGCGAAAATTTGATGGAGAGCGGTGGGATGGAAGAAGAGAGTGGGGATTTTACCGTGTAAACAGTGCGGGCAGCTACAAATGTGCAGGCTCCGCCTCAGTTTTAGATGGAACTTATGGTGTGAAACAGCACGCTGGGATAGCATGCCTTGTCCCTTTATTAAAAAAATAAAGGGTGCTGAAAAAGCATGGCCAAGGTTTTGTTTTGACATTCTGACAAAGATATTGGTTCAGACAACTAGTAAATGCATACGTGCAATTGATATTAAAAAGAAAATTAACTAAACGTTGATATTAGGTAGGATATCAATTACACATTAATTATTTGATTAGCACAAATGTTAATGTTTAGCATGATGTTAATTCCATGTTAAACATGTTGAGCACACGCCGTTGAAGCAATCTAAATTGTTGAATTGACATGATTTGACGACGGAGATTACAGCTCGATGAGTTCTTAGTGTCAGCCAATAAAAAAGAATATATGCATCCAGACTCCGGGGTAAATACATGGAAAAGACACGATGCATTCATCCAGGCCTACCAAAACGGCCAAACCTACACCAGCTTCATTTCATCAGCATAAACAAGAAAATATTATAGGTAACCAGATAAACCTGAAACATGAGTTTTGCACAATCTTCTTGCCCATGTTCTTACTAGTTTCATTTGAGATGAATAATTTACTTGGGACTTGCAAAGATGGTAAAAGGATACTTGATGCCACTAGGATTGACTTGCCATGTCGATGTTGCCAGGGATAAAACAGAACAGAGCATCAATACAAAGCTCAACGAAATGACTACTCTACAATTTACGGAGACGCTAATTAACACCAGAGTCTGTCTAACTGATCAGACCAGAGTGTAGTGTGGGAGCTGCACCCACTGGAAACAGATCAGGACCATGCCATGCCTGCCATAGTCCACAAAACATTTTATCCGAGCAGTGTTTGTTCCACAAGTACCATAACAGTGGAAACCATGATAAACATGTGGCCAGCAAAGGGTCAACCAATACAAAGACCTCTTGCGTAGGTATCATTTTTGCTGGACTATATCTCCGTAAGGTAACAAAGTAAGGTAATGAACGCGTATATAGCAGTCTCAGTTCTGCATGCAGCATTGACATACCAACCATAGATCTGGTCCGGTTGCCAATATCAAATAGCAATGCACCAAGCAACAACGAAATTGTTCCCGAGAATGACTACAAAGACTAAACTGAAATCCGTACGTGTATAGGAGCACACGTTACAGGCAAATATGCCTTATTCAACTTAATTTGAAAGAAATAGCATCAGCAGATGTATTGCTAGCGTAGGTTCAAACAATTTTAATGACATATACCATGCTACTACAAACAATGCTAGGTTTTCTTTCCTAATGCCCATGCCTAACGCAAGCTAAATCATCACAGAAATGCCACTTTGTAATTAATAGACCGCTGAAGCATAATCCCTTATGAAATAGATCCAACAATCAGCCAACAGAAACGACCTGGCAATAGTTTTCTACCTGACATGTTAATGCAAGGGTAAATATCAATAATCCAGCTCCCACAGTAGGGCTTTCACTGACAAATGCAGTTACTTTTCAATAAAAAGAAGCCATAATTCTTGAGATGTTTCAACAAAAGGCAATAATATCCAGCAATGTGAAGGAGAGGCTAATCCTATTGGGGAAAGTCAAATAAATGTAACCACTTAACAAGGAAGCTGGAAACAACAAATGTTTAGTTAAGATACTTGCTGAAATAACTAGCGTTGATGGCCTCATTCATTAATCCTTCATGTGTCAGTTGTAGATCAAAACTCATTTTCTGAAAAACATGACATAATGCCATCACATCTTGCATTGCTCTATGAGAAGGGCCTTCCACAGAGATCTCATAGCGTTTGCATAGTGACTCCAAGTTTAGGAGATGTTTCTTATCTGCAGAAAACAGTAAAATTCTGTGTAATTAAGGTTATTTATGTTGTGGATTTACCAAATGGTACAATGTAGGTAACTAACTGGGACTGCAAAAATGATACAGGCATATGATAAAAAGCAAAAAAAACACTTGGCCACTTCAACAAAAGTGGTCCTCATATTCCCAGAACCAAAGGACAACAAATAAATAATAAATAACAGCACAAACATGGCACCTTTTATATGAGGACACAAACATGGGAAATGGAATTGCATTACAGAAATCATGGAGTACAAGAAAGAATCTCAAAACAGAAAACCACCCTTGCAAGCAAAAGTGCTATACCCTAAAACCGATGGTATGAAGTGCTTTTATACCCAAGAGCCCTGGAGTAAAGATGGTGTACCTTCTGATGGCAGAAGCTTAGGCAATTTCCTTGCCAAGCAATAGGTGTCAACAAACAGCCAATCTTCAGGGATCTGAGCTGAACAACGATCAAACTCTTGGGCAAGGAAAGGGCCATCAAATCGTTTTACATTATGGGCAACCCATATAACTGGTTTGCCAGGAGTTTGGCGGCTTCGAGCAAATGCCAGTAGTAATGGAAGTACATCACTGAACCTACATTATTCAGATTAAGATAACACTTAGTGGTTGTTTGGATAGCAAGTATAAGCCACGTGGATTTAGAAAACGAGTTTTTAGTTGCCTTTTAGCAAAACCAGTTTTACTAGATATTTTATGAATAACCAGTTTACGGAAAAACATGTTTTGATACCCCACGCATCCCATGACCATCTCTCTCTTTCTCAAACTAGACATTGACGACCTCCAAGCTCCAGCCTAAGCCTCGACGATTCCGGCCTCAACCCCTAGACGCTGCTGCTCCACTCGGGTCGGCCTCGACGACTCCCCGCGCGGACGCTGGCGAGCGCTTCCCTGTTCGCCTAGCTTGCCATTCCTACATCCCTATACCATACAAGCTCTGCCCGGGGATGGACGTCCTGTTCTGCGTGGCCGGTGTGTCGTCTTATACCAACGTGATATCGGTGCTACGAACCAGCAGTAACGGCGCCCGCCGCTGATAGCGTCAACTCGTCCTCCCAGCACCGTCGTAGCTCCGGCGCCAGGGAGCGAGGTCCTTAGCGCGAACGCGTCCAGTGTGCCCCACAACGCTGGACATCCATGAGCATCAATATCCAGGCAGCGGCAGATCGCAGAGCTCGTGAGGGTGCTCGACGCCATGCACCGTGATGCCCCTAGCAGTCAACCAAACGACGGCGGCCTTGCCGGGGCTGGAGGAAAAGTGTGGGCACGCCGTCGGGGAGGTCGGCAGGACTACGAAGTCACCAACAACATGGCCGTACAGAGCATAGTCGCCACTCCACCCAACGCCGCCGTCCGCTGTGACGTTCTGTCGCGTCTCCTGACGTCGCAGGTCAGGCACCGGTGCCGGCGCCAGAAGACGTTCCTCTCCATGGAGCTCCGCGCCATGCCCAGGCGCACGCAAGACCCATTTTTCTAAAACGCGTTTGCACAAAAACGTCTCGGAGTCGTTTTTCAAAAAACACAGATTTTGGGTATTACGAGAACCAAGTTCTGCTTATCCAAGGATTAGTTAGATTGCCCAAACAGAGTTTTAGTTTGTTAGACTCCGAAACACGTTTATAGCTAACTGGTTCTCTAAAACTCCTGAACACGTTTATAGCTAACTGGTTCTCTAAAGACTAGCTATCCAAACAACCCATTAGAGCAAGTTCAGTGTTAACAGAGTCAGACATACAAAGAACCAAATATCCATTGTAAAAACTTACAAAATGCACAAGATTTTCAAAAAAGAAAGACTCAGAGACGCTTACTTACTAGTAGTATGGATAGTTATCAAAACACGACAACCAAATTTACTGAACAAATAGACTTACTTTCGTTTGGCCTTTGTTGACAGCACCATGTCGAGGAACAAAAAAGTTGGGTATGCGCACAGGCGTGCAAGTGCGCGTGTGTCCTAATTACTGACAATTTCATTACATTTGGGCTCGGCGACTAATGTGAAGGGACGGGATATCGTGGTGGCATTGGGAATAACATGAGTGCATTGGAAGAGAAACACACCTCGGGACATCAGGTCTGCACACCAAATCAGTGTTAATGTTATTGACAGTTGCAAGGTATTCAGGAACATCCCTCTCAGGATTAAGGAGAGTTTCAAATGTGCTATTCTTTCCTCCACAAAGATCACGGACTGCAAACTCAGTGATTCTATTACCCTTCTGGACATTACCAGTGATCTTCTGGAAATAACCAGTGGTCTCAATATCAAAGATAAGAAGAGGCACAGATGGCTCATGTTCAGAAGTCTGCTGAAACTTTAATGGCTGAATTCCGGAAATACATGAACCCAGGCTCGCACTGTGCAAACTAGCCGTGTCTTGAACACTTGTTGAGAAAAGGCGCCTCTCATAGCTTTTTGGATCAAGCAACTTTCCAAGTGACAATCCAGCATGTGGCATAAGCAACCTGGCAGGGCAACTACTCCACATGCTGTTCCTCAATTGATTGAAGCGAAGAAGCAATGACATTTTGTGTCAGAAGCGTGCTTAGAATTAAACAAACAAATTGGGCGTCCTATGGCTTAGATGAACCACATCAAACGCCTGCATCAATAAAACAACCATAGTATATAAGACTAGATAGCAAAGAGTCAATGACTTGATTTCACAGTACAAAAGCTTTGAGCTGGAAAGCACGAAACGTAATACTATTTCGATTCTGATATCAGTCAGGTCAGAAAGTTTGAAGTAAAAACTGCCAGTTCTAATGTGGCAAACGATACATACAAATCCATCCATAAGAGAGCCAATAAATCCAAGTACCCCATTTTGAATGAACTCATTAGCACCTAAAACCATGTACGGGGTACTATTTAGAGAACAAAAAAAAAAACTATGCATTTTAAACAGACTTCCATTTATCGCTGAACGCATGACTGAAAGTACAACCATGCCACCATACCAATATAGAACAACAGAGCATCTGACCCATCCAACCTACCCTCCAATTCAGCATCTGTCTATTATGGCTCTCGAGCGGTTATCCTCTCAAAGAATTGGCCATGTTGTCCACAGATCAAGAATGGTCTAGGGAATCGCCGTATAGGTTTGTGGACTTCGAGAATGTCCAGAGCATATTTTATCGTGTTTCAGTTAACAACGTAGGTGTAGAAAAATCATATTTTTTTTCGGAATGATTCTAAAATCAACTCCTTGAACTGCTACAAAGTACTCCCACCGTACAAGGAGTACCTCGAAAAAATAACACCTCAGTTTGGGGGAATGGCGGACTGGGACCCCAATCTAGAAGGTGCGCCGGGAGGCTAGTTTGGAACTAAGCAAACCCGGAATGAACGGAAGCTCGTAGGAGTACCTGGAAAAACCAATGCCCAAGGTTGCGGACTAGGCGGAAACGGCAGGGACGCGACGAGGTAGAAGGGGAACGGCGATGGCGGCGACGCGCGCGAGAGGTTTCCTGTGGGGAGGGGGAGGGGTTTAGGCGGGCGAGGCGTCGGCGGCGCCGCTAAGCTGCGGCGGGGCGCGGCGGTGGTGGGGTGCGAATCCGATTCACACTCGCGGCCGCATTGAGTGGGTGGGTAGGGGAATGACGGAGCGAGAGCGGCAGGGTGGAGAGGGGGCATGGGGCGGGGAAGAAGAGGAGAGGCGCGCGATCCCGGCCACTCGTTTTCTGATCCGACGGCTCGGGTCGATCGCTGCGGAAGCAGTTGCTGCACGACGGCACGATCTCCATTTCCCCCGGAATCGTTGTTTTTTTTTTTGCGGGGGGCCCGGAATCAGTGTTACACACAAATTTGTCGTAGAAACTCTGCAACTCTACCGTAAAATTAGTGTCAAAGTGAAAAAACTCTACCGTACAAAGTTTTCTTCAGTCCTGGGTAACTCGAGTGACACAGGCCGCGGCTTAAACCAATCATCACACTATCTACTTCGATACCCAATTCGTTTCTTACCCGAAATTCAGGTATTACCTCCGTGAACTGACGCGATTTTAGTTTAAATTTGAACTAAAAACCACGTCAGTTATCTCCGATCGGAGAGAGTAAAACGCACGTTTGGAGAGAACGTATCGTAAGTTCAGATAAGTAAAATGGGAAGAGCAAAAGGGGAGCTGAATATCACAACTCAGACCCCCTAAATAAATAAGTTCATCAGCAGCATGCAGAAATTAACGTTTCAAACAGAATAAGCTAGCGTGCGTAGTTCGTGAAAAGAAAGAAAAACAGGATCAAATTGTCCTGCGAGATGGAATTTGGGACATAAGTTCAGAATGTTTTAAGCATGTTGATTAGAACATAAACACTGACAGATGAAATGCGCGGCAGCCAATCTCGTCGGGACACGCGACACAACTTGCAAGCCGTCCCTTATTTCTACCTACCTAGCGCCTTGTGGTATGGACATAAAGATTCCATGCATGCACTTACAGGTTGCAGAAACATACTGTTCCTGGTCGTGCCAATCAGCAGGAATGGCAGGCTGCATGAGGACGAAAATCTGGAGATGTTTTGTCCAGAGGCGCAAGTGGAAAAGAACACAAGTTGAGATGGACACTCATCTTTCGTGACTTCACCAAGCGACTTGCACGTGACTGCCGCTGCATTGCAGTGCACGAACATGGAACAACAATTGGTGGACAATTTCAAGATTATTTTCGAGATTAGCTTTCTAGCTTTCAGAGCATCTCCAGATCCCGTAAAAGCACGTCTCGTAAAACCAGTTTCGGATGCCCCTGGAAAACTGGTTTGCGGTACCACACAGGGCTCGAACGGAATAGACCTCGTAAACTCGTACCGCAAAACCAGTTTTGATTTTCACATTGACATCAACTACAAGCTCATATAGTAGATGCAATACACCGAGTAAATATGCAAATATCATACAATACTAGTATGACAATAGTTCACGTCCAAAAGCATGCACGGTATAAGAGGTACCAATTAAGTTTATCTTTGTGCAATCAAACACAATTAGACGTGATCAAATCAAGCAATACCATTGTTGACAAGATCATCGCCACCACCATCGGCCATAGCACCACCATTATCAATGTTAACTGAAGAACCATCATCACCATTGGAGGAAGCACCACCACCACCTCCTCCGTTGGCCGAAGCACCACCACTGTCGGAAGCA